CGGCGCTCTCTCTCTCTCTCTCTCTCTCTCTCTCTCTCTCTCTCTCTCTCGTGTTTTGAATTCTTGCATGAGGTACTTGGCACGACAACTGTCAAGTTTAAGCGTTTCACCTCTTTGATGTTAAATTTCTTTATTAGGTTAACTTTTTGTGGTTTTTTTTCTTTTAAATAATTAAAGATCTGGAGAGAATCTGTGGTGAAATAACTAAAATGATTCAGAGAGGCCGGAAGAAAGAATAATAAACAATATGCTTGATAATGTTTATTTATTTATTTTTTGAGAAGATAAGAAATAATTTTGTCTTTGATCTTTATTCCATATTAATTATTCACTTTGTTTTCACATAAAAAAAATTGTATGTCTCGTTTTCTTTCCACTAGCACTTATCTCCTTGATTTTACCAAAATTAAAACCAAAAGGAATGGTCGTTTGTCCGGTTCCTTCTCTAGCATATAAATTTGTTAGGATTAGTCCAAGCAAATTTATTTTATCATTTTTAAGGTTTCTTAAATTTTTTTTAATACAAGCATATAGTCTAAACTACAAAGAGATAGGTTTCTCACACACACGCATACACATTACTTGAGGTTCAAATTTGTGACCACTAATTTGTAAATCAAGGCTCTTTTTCATTGGACTAGACCATGTTGGCTAAAGATCCTCATATAATGATTGGTAATTGTTTTGAATAACATTACAAAAGGAAAAACATAAAATAAAAGAAACTAGTTAATTAAGGCCCTTATAAATGTAATTCTCAAAAGTATTACATATTTAAATATATATATTTTTTAAATAACATGCCGGTTTTATTATTGAACAGATTCATGTGCTGAGCAAAGAAATGGTTGGCATTGGCATGCTTCTGTCGAATTACCTCCCACTGAAAACAGTGGACAAGTTTGTGTCACTGCTTGCCAAGTTGAGCTACAGTGATTTGTCCAGCCATGGCATTCATCGCCCAGTTGAAGGGCCATTTCTCTTTAAAGCACTCACTGGAAAGACTCCAGTAATTGATCGTGGAACCATCAAGAAAATTCGCTCAAAAAAGATTCAGGTAAATATTGTAACATATATTATATCTTTAATTAAAGGATATATACTTAACAGAATTTCTTCGTAATATTTGTTTTGATACAGGTTTTTCCAGATGTAGTGAGTATAAACCAGAACACTGTGGAATTCAAAGATGGTAAACGACGGTGTTTTGATGCTATTGTGTTGGCAACTGGTTACAAAAGCGTAGCACATAAATGGTTGAAGGTAATTTTATATTTTTTATTGAATATTAAACCGAGAGCAAAGAGAGAGAGAGAGAGAGAGAGAGAGAGAGAGAGAGAGAGAGAGAAATTAATTATTTAATTGTGGATGCAGGACTACAAGTTCCTTCTTACAGATGATGGAAAGCCTAAAGGGAAGTACCCAAACCACTGGAAGGGCGAGAAAGGTGTTTATTGTGTTGGATTAACAGGGAAGGGACTGCCAGGAATTTTCAAAGATTCAAAGGCTGTAACTGAAGACATCTATCAACTTACACTAATGGCACAAAAGTAGTTAATGTGCATTCCATGGGCACTAGTAATGCACGTATGCAGACAGGGGTGCATTTGTGTGTTGTATAAGACATAAATCACTGTTTATGGATTCCTAGTCTTTGCGTTTATAGTTGGTGCATTTTCCTGCATGTCATTTTGTTCGTCATGTTTTCAACACTGTGATGCCCATGTTTTCTAGCACACTATACTCGTAAGCCCCGACATGTTTAATTAAGATTTTTCCTTATAATTTATGTTATATTATGGTATGTTTGTGAATAGAGTCGAGCATAATGGCTTACCTAAGCTTAATCTAAAATTTTAGGCCCAAGATACTTTAATTTACGAAAGCCCAAGCAGGTTAGTGTGAGCAAGCTAAACTTCCTATACATTTGAAGAGGCTAGCTAGGGTTCTAGCGCTAGGGTTAAGGCTGGCCCATTAGATGGCATATTTAAAAGTGAACATTAGGGTTTAGCTCAGCTAGTTACAAAGGAAAAAAGGTCCAAAATGGGAGAGAGAGTTCAAAAAAGGGAAAAAGGAATTTCTGGAGGCAAACTAACGGTTGGGGTTTAGAGAGGAGGGTCGGTTATCCAATTATTTTATGCCAATCAAGTTGCTATATTGACATTTCCTATAATCCAGTTTAACATGACGAGAATACACATGTGGAGGTGGATTGACATTTAATTGAAGAGAAATTAGAAGCTAATTTGTTTACCGTGCCTCTTGTGAAAACTGAAGATCAATTAGCGGACATCCTTACCAATGTGTTAGCACTATCAAGTTGGACATTAGCAATATCTATGCACCAACTTACGGGGGAGTGTTAGCACGTATACTTAGAATAGGAAAGTTTATTTCCTAATTGTATTTGAATTCCATGTAATTAGGGATTTTGTTTACTTGTACAAAATAGATGTATATTTTTTACTTCTACATAAAATACCTATTTTTAGAAGTTGATCATGAAGCTAAATTTGATTTTTCTTAAATATATTAAGAGTTTTTATTGTCCTAGAAGATTCAAGGACAAAATATATACGTGTAACTTTCGTTTTGTCAGATAGTTTGACATGTTATATTGTCACATTGTGTACAAAGATATTAACTACTTGAAATTATAAATATTCCTATTGATTGATAGTTTACAGGATCCCTACCCAAATTATGTTCATGCTTTTAGGCACCATCAAACCCAAATTCTGATTGATAGGTAATTACATTGAAAGCATGTACATTTTTTAGTCGAGGGCCCATAAATTTGTGGTCACTAATCCACAAATATATCATGTAGTCATCCATCAGCATAAGCCTCTAAATTGAAATAGCTAAAGATTCCAAAGTTCTAGTTTTTGTTTTTGTTTTTGTGTTATAGCTTATAATTACTTTCATATGGGTTGTAAGTGGGTGTGGTCCGGTTTGGTTTGGTTTCCATCTCACATTGGAATCGAAACTGATACTATTTAACCAGTGCGGTTGTTTGTCTGTCGCGAATCTCACGGCCTAGTGCTCCGGGCTGAGGGGATGTGCGTCAACACATGACGTCCTTCTTTTGGATGCAGTGCGGTTATGCGCGGGTGTGCCAGCACGGTCTACCGTGCGTCGAGATGATGATGACGTTTGGGTAGAAGATGGTTTAAATGTTGCGCCTGTTTTACATTCGACTCCTAATCAAACGATTGTGGCCGAGAGAGGAACTGATCTCGGCCGTCAGGTTCACGGCCTGAGCTACAAGGCCGTTTAGTGATGGCGTTGGTGGCGGGTTTCAGGCGGTGCTCTGACGCATTGCTCAGAGAGCGACGGTCGTATGATATATGGGGTGAGTGAGGAGATAACAGGGATGGTGCTCCGGCGCCTTGAAAATCAAGGGTTGTATGATATATTGATGAATGGATTTTCCTTACAATCTACCACTGCTCCTAAGACAACAAATAAAGGTATTGAAAGTGCATTACAGGAAAATATAATTTGTTCCGTGGGAGGCTTTTGGTTTGGTGTTTGAACCCTTTGAATGTAGTTCTGAGCTTAGTATTTATAGGAGTCTTGGAGGGACATTCGAGGCTGACAAGACTTGCGCGGTGGAGTCTGACCGGGGCAAGTGGGTAGTCAAATCGGCATTTGGGATCATGAAGCATGGCGGTTTGGGGTTGAGAAGCATGGTGGTGTGACCCCCATAAATCTCGGTAAATCTCGGCCACCGCCCTAATCGTGGGTTCTGCCCCCTTGACCGTAGGAACGCATTTAATGCCCTGGTCTGGTGGTTAGTGATCCGAACCCTAAGTCATGAGATTACTTGTGAGAATGTCTGCGCCTAACCACCCTGATTTCCATCACCAAATCCTGACTTTAGTCACTTCCCTTGTGCATTTAATGCTTCTTGTGGCTAGTGGGTTTGCTGCGAAGTCAGAGGCATTACTTCATTAAATGAAGCGTGGGGCCCTGAGGCCACATGGTGATTTAACCACAGCTTTTTTAAGCCGTGTCTTTCACGGCCTTCGGCATCGGCCTTCAATACTGTGGTCGCGAGGCCGAGAGGATTCTGCCTTTGCAGCTCTTCTTTTGTTTTTAGGAAGGCGAAATGCTTGACGAAACGGTAGGCGCCAGGGCCAAAGGGAAATCCCTTCAATTAGTTCATGACCGTGATTTATTAAGTACAAACATTGCCCCCACATCCCTAGATTCTTCGGTCGCGGCCTGGGTAGAGGTCGAAAGGATTCCAAGGGATGGACCCTTTGCCTTCCCCCGGAAGTGATTGACAGTTGGTGCTTTAAATGCGTAGGTCAATCGGCGCATTAAATGCACAAGCACGCCTCGCAGGCCATTATTGCGCAAACCGCCGTTTTGTCTTGTTAAATGAAACGACGGCTTCTGAGCTTCTGCCACGTCATCGCTTATGCGATCGTACAGTCAGACTGCTACGTCTCTCGATAGAGCCATGCCCTTTCATTTCAAACTCTAGCGCTAATATAAAAGCTTGGCCTCCTTCAATTTTCTCCACTCCTTTCTGCTCCAGTGGTCTTCCCCTTGTAGTTTCTCCAGAACCAAGGTTGAGCCATATCCACGGATCCCCGCGTCGTGGCCTGATCCAGATGGTTTTCTCCCTCCTACTGTCCATCAACAATCCTTCGTCCCGGAACGTCGACGCGGGCCAAGGCCGTGGTGTGGTCAAGATTCCTTCCTGGCCCTGGGGGAGAATGACCTCCTTTCGTATGAGGCCGCGGAGAAACTGCAATGCGATCGATGAAGATGGAAGGGCTTGGTATGACGATTCCAACTTGGCCATGTCAGTTTGGCCTAGCACCTTGGTTGCACCCATGGCCGGAGTGAAAACCCTGGCTTCACCCAGCCACAGTTGTGCCCAAAATGACGGCCCTGGCCATGGTCGGAGCGACGACCTTGATTGCGACCCGGTTTCACCCATGTCCAGAGTGACATCTATACCCATGGTTGGAATGACGGCCTTGATTTTAGCCGGCTGCACCCGTGTCCAGAGTGACGGCCCTGGCCATGTCCTGAGTGACGGCCTTGATTGCGACCTGGTTCTGCCCATGCCCAGAGTGATGGCCTTGCCTATGACCGTGGCCAGTGGAACCGTGGGCGGTGGGGGGACCGTCTAGGGAAGAATCTTCTACCCGTTCAAGCAAAGGGATCAAGAAGCGGCCGGCCATAGATTTAGGATGCATTCTATTTTTCGCACATGTATGCTTATATGTTTCATTCGGCCATGACCGGCTGTTCTTTTGTAACTGTGACCCCTTTCTTTTAATCTAAATGAAGTATAATCCCCTTTTCTTCTGACTGAATGTATGGTTTTTCTTTTATCTTTGCCGATTGCAAACCTCATAACCCATTCTTGGACGTCTCCCATAATGACGGGGTATATTTCTTCAAATATTGCCCGTTTATTGGCAAGTTGTGCCATTCCCCATCCCTATCTCTTAACTGAAATGCACCTCGCCCAAGGATCCATTCGATAATAAACGGCCCTTCCCAATTGGGTGAGAATTTGCCGAATCGAGGGTCCTTGGTCCTGATAGGAAGCACGGCACGCCATACCAAGTCGCCTTCTGCGAAAGTCCTTTGTTTCACCTTCTTGTTATAGGACCTCGCCGTGATTTGCTTTTGTGCCTGCATTAGGTTATAGGCGTCGAGCCTAGATTGCTCCAAATCTTCTAGCTCCTGAGCCATGGCCTTCTTCATAGTCCCTTTCTTCCTGCCCAGGTTGTTCGGTCACCAGGAGAGACCGAACCTTTAGCTCAATCGGAACGATGGCTCCATGACCGTAGGTTAAAGCATAAGGGGATGTGCTAGTAGCCGATCGTTTCGAGACTCGGTAAGCCCAGAGGGCCTCAGGGAGTAAGTTGTGCCATGCCCTAGGTTTTTCCTCAATCATTTTCTCGAGGATACCCTTGATTACCTTGTTGCTCGCCTCGGCCTGTCCGTTAGACTGTGAGTAGTAGGGTGTCGAGTGGACCAATTTGATCCCCATCCTTTTGGCGTATTCTCGAGTCTCGGCTAATGCGAATATCGTGCCGTTATCGGCCGTGATGGTTTCGGGTATACTGAATCTGTGGACGATGTGATTTTCAAAGAATCTGACCACCTGTGTGATAGAAATGGACCGATAGGACTCCGCCTCGACCCATTTAGTGAAATAGTCAGTTGCCACCAAAATCCAGGCGTGCTGGTTGGACGCGGCTGGGTAGATTTTGCCGATGATATCCAATGCCTGGCCTTTGACCGACTTCTGAGCCACATATTGGAAGGTGAATTCGGACAATGCCATCGTCCACTTCCCGATCCGGCCGCGTATGATTGGCCGAGTAAGCATGTATTTGATGAGGTTGGTCCTGGAGATGATCTGAACGACCGAAGGAAGCATATAATGGCGCAACTTGGTGGCCGCGAAATAAAGTGCCAAGCATAATTTCTCGATCGGTGAATAGTTTAGCTCGGCCATGTTAAGGGTGCGGCTCAAATAATGCACTGCTTGCTCTCGCTCAGACTCGTTGTTCTGGGCCAGCAGACAACCGATAGAGCCTTCCGAATCCGAAATGTAAAGCCTCAAGGGTTTCCCTCTTTTCGGCGGCATAAGGACCGGTGGTTGAGATAAATATTGCTTAATGTCGTCGAGGGCCGCTTGATGTTCTGCCCCCCACGCGAACCATTCCATGTCTTTTAGTTTGAGCAGAGGAGTCAATGGCTGGATTTTTCCCGCCAAATTGC